TTTAGGAAAACCATCTTCTAACTGCAACGAGCCCCACTGAGCCCATTGAGATACCTCTTCCCAGGCTGACCTTTTCTCGTTTATTTTCCAGTTTATAATCAGACGTAAATCACTGTCACTGTCCGGAATTCTGGAGGTGCCACAGAAGTGCAGTGCGTCGTGCGTGGTATTCATATTTGTGCTACGTCTTGGTAGCGGGAATTAAACTTTTATCTTGGTCCCTTTGCCTTCTTGGCAGGTTGTGTTCATGGCTTGTAGCCTTCCTGGACATTTCAAAGTGTCGTCACTCTTGACTGTACTCACACATCGCGCGATTGCAGCTACTGGGGCACACGTCAATCTCAGTGCTCTTCTTTAACTTGGTCGGGAAGTTCAAATTCATCACCCGAACAGGAGTTCATTGTTTAACATTTACCTTGCCAATCAAAATTCCTCGACCCATATTGGTATAATTGGCTTCCATCACACACAAGCTGTTTTCCTGGAGACTGAAGACCATCTATGCTTGCCATCACAACTTTCTCGTAACACTCCGGCGGGGTTGCATTATTCACAGGCGTAACACGTACCAGCCCGTTTGCTTCTCTCTGAATAGGAACTTCTTCATAATCTACTCGAACACTCCACTCTTCAGGTCGATCGTAAACCAACACTTGATGCGTCTTGAATTCAATACCAATATCAACCGCCAGCTCTCTCAGATGTTTCATGTCGTACAAGTTTCAAAGCTTGTTTCCACGTCGCGACCACCATCGGTGAACGTCTGCACCGCCAGCTGCTCTAAAAAGCTCTCTGGAACCGTAAGATACGCCAATCCTATGAAAGTACTTAGGAATAAGAGTGGCGTGGAACTGGTTTCATAGCTACTTAGTGAACCGAATTCAATGTGTACGTATTCACAATGTCACTAGTGTACCGGCCACAGTTACATGCGGAGTTCCACAGGGTTCTGTGTTGGGCCCTATTTTGTTTCTCGTTTTTATCAATAAACTATGTCTTGGCAAATTCAACGAAACATTTGACATGCTTCGCAGACGACACGATGTTATCCTATTCCTCTGGTACCATAGTTACTCTTCAAAATGATATGCAGAGTGATTTAAATAAAATTAAAAAATCGTTCACGATCAATAAGCTTGTACTAAGTGTAAAAACTAAATTTATTAGTAGATATACAATGCGAATCCTGGACCACTTCAAGGTCGCTCGTCACCTGGTGTTGACCTTAGAAAGTAGGTCAAGGACACGCGGGCGTGACATTGGGAAATAGGTCAAGGTGAAAGTTGAGTGACACGTGGTCGGTGACCTTGGAAATTAAGTAAAGTTGAAAGTCGCGTGTCACGTGGGCGGTGACCTTGGAAATTAGGTCAAGGTGAAAGCTGCATGCCACGTGGGGGCGACCTCAATTTTCACACGAGGTCATTGACCCCATTAATGTTTAAGGTCATCCGAGGTCATTGACCCCAATTAATTTTCAAGGTCATTCGAGCTCATTGATTCCATTAAATTACAAGGTCATCCGAGGTCACTGGTCCCATTAATTTTCAAGGTCATCAGAGGACATTGACCCCGTTAATATAATCATTCGAGGTCGTTGACCTCACTAATTTCCAAGGTTATCCGAGGCCATTGGCCCCATTTTTGAGGCATTAAATTGAATTTTCAATGTCATCAGAGGTCATTGCCCCCATAAATGTTCAAGGTCATCCGAGGACATTGGCCTCATTTTTGGTTATCAAATTACATTTTCAAGGACATCCGTGGTCATTGGCCCTCCTAAAATAGTAAAACCATACGATGTCGTTGGCTCCGTTTTGTTGTGGTATCAAATTACATTTTCAAGGTTATCCCAGGTCATTGCCCCAATAAATTTTCAATTTCATTCGAGGGCATTGGCCCCACTTTATGTAGTTTCAAATTACATTTTTAACGTCATCCGAGGTCATTGAACCATATAATTTCGAGGTCATTGGCCTACATTCTTAATGAGCCTTGTCCTCTGTTAGTAACCTTTCGGTGACGTTGGAGAGTAGGTCAAGGTAAAGTCCAAAATTCCAAAACTTTTCAAGGTCATCCGAGGTCAGTGACCCAATAATATTTTCAGGGTCATCCAAGGTTATGAACTAATGTTTAACCGTCATTGGCCTTCAATGGTGTATATAAGAAGCTACAGAGCAGTTTATTGTGAAAGTGTTCGTGTATGTTGTATTTTATAATTGGGATACATCAGTTTTAAAAGGTAACTATGAGCGGTGTTGCTATTTCAAGTAGTGATTATTTTTAATTAAAACATACAACTGACACTATACAAAATATCTATGCAAGATTTGCTTGTTAGCAGAGAGTGGCGTGTGTCCCAAGTGCATAAAAATTGATCGAGTTCTCAAAGTTAAATATCTTGGCGTGTTAATTGATGAAAATTGTTTCTGGAAACCATATGTTATATTGGCAATTTAAAACGCTTAAGGAAATTTTATTATTTAAGACATATATTTCCGCTCTTTGTCCTTAATTAATTTATTTATTGATTTATTTATTGTCCCTCTTGTTCTAGGCCCTCGACAAGCTTACGCCCAATTACAGAGTGACCCGCATAATGCTTTTTAGAGGTGCCCCTGCAGAAGGTCTTAAGTTGTTCTATACTACTCCGGTATTTACCTTGCGAATTAGGAAAACTGCAGGAAAACCTAATTCGGGGTAGCCGGCAGAATGCTCGAAACTGATCTAAGGAAAATCCCATCTCTGCCACAGATGAAAAATTCACCTCAAACCAGGTTCGAACACTATAATGCCGGAAAGAGCATGCATTTCCCCTATTTCATAATTTACAAATATTACCTCTAAGATATATATTTGTTTATCGCGTTTTGAGAACATTTGTCATGAGCGTGCTGGAGTATATTCGAGTAGGCTTCAATCTCGTAACCGTGTTGGAATACCTATTCCAAAATTAGAAACATATAAAAGGTTTTTTATATATTGTGCACCAAAATTTTACAACCTACTCCCGGTTGAAGTGACCTCCCAAAAAACACTCGTTTTAAAAAAAAAATTAAAATCGTGGCTCTTTACTTTAAAAAGCATTGACATTTTATTTAAATAATTTAAATTTTTTCGTCTTCAAACATCATCATTATGATTAATTATCTGCAGTAGTTTATCTAGGAACAAACACACACAAGATTGTTTTTAATAGGCACATTTTTTTCTTTAAGTTGTATAGTCGTATGTAGATTAAAATCAATTTTTTAAATAATTTATTTTATTGTTCCTATAGGTAGTCGATTTCGAATCTTTAATACTGATTCATCAGACCTTAGCGTCGACTTGTTTTGCTGAATAATACAAATAATTGAAAAAGATAGACTTGAACATTTTTTTTAAATTTGACGAGGACATGTTACACATTAAAATCTCGAGTTGAGTTCGGAGTGGAAGTCGAAAATGGTGTAGCGTGTTGGTTTTGAGGTTATGTGTGTATAAAACCAACACGCTACACCATTTTCGACTTCCACTCCGAACTCAACTCGAGATTTTAATGTGTAATATGTCCTCGTCAAAGTTTTAAAAATGTTATTGCATAAAGTATACTTTCTAATATGGGATCCTGTCCACATCACTACTATAACTTCTGAAGGTAGCCTCCATACCACAACGTTAAGGAATTAAAGAATCCATAGCGCACTTTAAGTCTAATTTTATTTTATAGTAACAAAAAATTTTTTGTCAAATTGAATGTATTATTTTTATTTTTTCTTTCAGTTTTTTTGTGCGTTGGAAAAATAAACTTTCTTTCTTTCTTTAATTCCGTCAGCTATAAAGAAGGCGGTCTTCTGTATATGGAATGTAGTCTATAGTCACATTTTTGATTGGGTTGGGGTAAAGTCACTAGATATAGAAAGTACCGCAATTATCCGCCATTTTTGGGCAAATTTGCTGCCAACTTAAAAAAATTGACAAATAAAATCTGAATAGCTGTAATTTTTTATAACCTAACTTCATAGTACTGTCATGTTTTATAAAAATTGATAAAAATATATACAGATATCTCCAAACAGGTGGAACAATCCCTAACATTAAAGTTACTAGAATCTGGTAACTTCCGCCATTTTTGGGAAAAAATCATACGTTCTCTCTCCAACACACGAGCCCAATGGATTGCGGTACTTTCTATATTTAGTGACTTTAGGTTGGGGAACACGTAAAATTCCAAAAAATCCACAAAAATTAACCATACAGTTTGCAACACGACTGCCCAAAATCAACAGATCTTTTTCGCGGCCACTAGAGGTGAATTATGGGTACGGACACGAAAATATACGTGGAAATTATGTAGTATTTATTCAGAAGAGCGGTACCGAAAATATTCACAACTTATTGACAACGCGAACAATTAATTAATTCATATTGGCACCAGCCGCCTTATGTTACAGTGGTAAATAATTAACGGGGCCTCTATAAATTGGTAAAGACTAATTAAAGTTTTGATGTAACTATTTAGTGGATCATTTCACTCCAATAACTGCATATGCGCACATAAAATGCTTTTCGGTAAGGAGAGTATGTCGTGTAAATTTCGAATACATTCAATTTATGTGAAAGAAATCTTATTCCAAGCATTTTTATGTGTAAACTGTGTAAAATTGACAAAAGTTCCTCGCTTTTTGGGCAGATTTTTTTACCTTGTTTTCTTTTCCTCGTTTAGATGTCTTGTACTGCATGTAAACTTATATTTAGAATACTGTAAATACAATACACAGTAAATGTATAATTGAAAAGATTAAGATTAAGATCATATTTTCAGACTCGTGTAAAATATCATGCATCTACTAATTATACTTCAAGTGCGCTTCTTAATACAAAAATGCAATATCTATTCACGCTAATGTCTCTTCATACAAAAGTTCACGGCAGGGAACAACGAATGCTATAGGGTAATCAGGTAATCACAATCTTAAGAAGTTATACAAGAGCAACTCATGATTCAGTCGCACGGTATCTTTCGAATGAAAACCAACGAAAAACGCGCACGCTTAAATTAGGCACCCAAAAATTCCAACGGTACTAATCATTATATCTTGTATTTAATTATTATATCCGTGTTGTGGGCATTCTTCTTTTTTACTCAGGAATAAAAAACAATACTACAACTAACAGGTAACCTTTTTTTCATTTTTATCTTATTTAGCTAATTAACTAACGCACCAAATATTTCCTGGTTTTTTTATTAGACTGGTTGTTCAAATGTACAACCACGCATACGGAGTAATTAAAGAATTTTGGATTACTTTTCAATTTATTTGAAAATCACTTGAAATCCTAAGACATAGACACTACAAAAGTTTTGGGTGTTAATGTTGACAGTCAATTTTCTATACAAAAGCGCGTTTCAAGACGCACTGATTCATTAATGTAATGAGTAGCACACTTAGTTTAATGGCCATTTTGCTTATGCCTTTTAATCCTTTTAGCTTGATGTTGCGTGTGGGCCTTGATATTACTTGCTCTTCAATGTAACTATTAGTACATATCAGCAGACGAAGAGGTTCCGCTGTGGCTTATGCAAGACCTGTTGAAATTTTTCTTGCCACCCATAAATTTCGCTTCCATTGTAAAATTATTTTATTTAAAGATATTACATTTCGAAATTGAACAAATTGAAAAGGAAATAAAGCGTTGTTAAAACGAAAGTTCTAAATTATTTCTAATTCGGCGTGACATAACGAATTAATTAGGTTTGGTGTTAGAAATTGATCCGATTTCGAGTAACTGTCGATACGCTTAGGACTCTCAAAGAATTCACGAATACCGCAGCGATATTCTTGTTTACCTTTTTGGTAAACGATTTATTCGGATTTTTGGTAGGTAATTACCAATCACTCAAAGCGTAAAATTGTCTCTAAAACTTATTTTCGTTGTTAGCAGTTTCTATATATGGTCTGATGATGCCTTCTTCTAATGATAAGTTGCATTATGCGAATATTCTTAGATTAAATCACCTGAAATTGTCGACAACTCGTCTGTTAAATTTAATTCCAAGACCTACTTCAGAAGAATTGGTAAAATATGTAAATGAACTGTAGAAATTATGGAAATACTACCGCGCGCTAAGTATTCCCATAAAAATGTACCTAGTCTACTTAATCCCAAATCGAGGACCTACCTACTTTCTTTTTCTGCACCTCAACGAGACAACCAATTATTTTCTGTCGACAGTGATTTTATCGATGAATTTACCGAAACGCTGGCTGCATCGATTGTATTTACTAAAAGCAAGTCATTGTCGCCCAGCAGTAATAGATGCAATATTATACTATTCCTTATCATAAACTACAATCGAAAGCACCGTAGCATTACGCGTAACACAAATTGCTACTTGTGACAATCTATAACAAATGCGATTTGTTTGTAACACCTCTTCCGTTAGTTGTTTAATGGCATCCCAATTTGGAAGATACCTACAGATAGCCACACACAGAACGATTTACGTGGGCAAGTTTAGACTTGAACACATACACTGAACAGTGACCACAAGCCCTACACCATGCCCTACACTTACTCGTATATCATTTCTGTCAACGTGAACTTCCCGCTGTGTTGTTTTGTGAGATGGATGACGTTTTCCCAGTAGCTTTATTTGTGCTACAAAAAAAAGTTACAAAGAAACCTATGAAGTAAACAAGAATATTATTCGCACATCAATGAATTGAAATTTGCACCCAAAAACTAGCATGACTATCTTCGTATGGATGAATTGAAGCTTTTGTTGATAGTAACACCATTTATTAAAACGCAGATATACTGTTATTCGACGAAAGATTAACGGCCACCTTTCACGTCTTCGCAACAACAACAATATTATTATATTATTCCATAAACATGTAACGCGATGTACAGGGTACTCCGGAAAGATTATTTGAAGGCGAGTTTTACTTCTAGAACTAGCAGTGTGGGAATTTCGGGAAGTTCTTTCGAAGCCTTGAAAGACACTTATGTTCTAAAGGCCAAGTCTCTTTTCAACTGTAAAAAAACATCCTACAAATTTGTTCATGGTTTAAATTCCCATGGGTCGACCTCTTCAGGTATTTAAAATTGACTTTCAGCATAAAGCTTTTGTATCTTTTGTATTGGCTGGTAAAATTGACTGTTCGTTGAAAGTGAATCTCGAAAGAAGTCTGACAATTTAAATCCGGAACAAACTGAGCTTCAGGTTACTCCTCGGGTTACTCGAACTTTAATAGTTGATCTTTTGTTTACTCATTGTATTAATTGAACAATGTTCCGCAGCGCAGTAGGGAAATGTCACGAAAAATTACCATTATCATTTTATTAATTGTCTTTACTTTTTTACTGGTTGCCGTCTAATGTAAAATCTATTATTAACATCCCGTATACAAAAGAGTGCACAATTTTGATTCACAAACTCGTTTTTAATCGTCTAACCGCTCCAAATAAAAACACAATGAGAGTTCTGAATCTGGAACCACGACGCTTTCGTGGTAACAATTTATTTAAAACTAACTACTTTAATCCGACTGTGCAATGATCCACAAATATTCACGTACGTATTAAGAAAGTAATATATTCGCACTGTATTTACGGTCGAATCTAAATCAGCCGTCAGTTAATTTCCACTACACGACGAAGCTCCAATAAATTGATAACGCACCCGCGGCAATCATTTCGTCGAAACGGCTGTACAGTTTGCAGTTTGCCTTTAAAATCTTCTGCGGCATTTGCAAGAATATTCCAATATGACAATCAATTTTTAATTTACGCACGGATAGCTCAATAATAAAATTATCAAATCCCTAGCGGAAGTTTGGCCTCATCTCCTCTGTAAATCTGAATTTCAAAATCTAAGTTCATAAAAAGTAATACAAAGAGAACAACATTCCAAGTATCTCGTGATCACGTCCATGCCAAACTTGATTCTCATCGAACTATTTTATCTTTACCAAATAATGACACGTAATTTCTTCTGTTTCAAAATGTACAAACCCCTACTCTATGCCATGCAGAATTTTAATACAACAAAAGGGCAATTCACATTATCGCTCACGTTACGGTCAGATCACGGCCCGGTCAATTATTCTATCGGCCGAATTCGTGCGCTATTGGATACGCGCCTACCCAACGATTTGCTCTCGGTCTCGTCAAAATATCCGCAGCGAGAAAGACCGCGGTCAAAAATCATAGCGTACCGTGACCTGACCTGATGTGAATATTCCTATTTAAATAGCATGTCACATTATTTTGAGCGGAGCTGGAGCAGAGCGTGACCTGAGCTATAGTGTGAATTGGCCTTAAAGGAAATGGTATTATTGAAATTAAATGCAAAATTGTCAATCAATGAAATAAAATAACCAAAATCCATTGCGTGGATTGAATTATTATCAATAAATACCATACAAAATTTGTTTCTGCAAATAATTTTCACAGGTCAATTCCTTTAGGAATATTAAAATTACTTCAAACCAAATTTCTAAAAATGATCGACTACTGCTTTTTGAGATGGTACCTGAATATAAATTTTTGAATTACCATGTATATAAAAATTGCCAATACCAAACTTTACAGTGTATAAGTATACTTTTCATTCTGTAATTTACATTTAAACGAAGTATAGCGCGCTTTTCGATTTCGCGGTGTAAATGAGACGGGTGTGCATTCATTCAAGAAATAGGCGTAAAGCAGGCAAGCAAGCTTGACGTATTTATATGTGACGTTCAATTTGTTTATATGCTAAAAACGCTAAATATCGTTTCAAATCCAACAACAATAAATTCAACGGGTAGAAACAATTTTCAACGCCATCGGCCAGTTTAGAAGAGAGACGTGCTTACGAAGAAAGCAGCCATTTTTGCATAAAACGCTCTTGTTGTTCGTTGTCAGCACGTATTTAAAAGTGTAATTCAGGTAACGTATCGATTTTGATGGGATATTTAAAATTAGCGCTTTATCTGCGAACAATGTTCCCAATTTTTCTTGTCATAAATCTACCCAAATTAAGTTTTGGATACACCGATACCACATAATTTATTTACCACACGATACAGGTCTTTATATAAGCAAACCAAAAAATTTAAGTTTTATACAACGAGTTAGTAACCTAAGGAGCAACTGCAAGCCAACGAGTTAGTAAGAAAAATCAACCTCACATTTTATATGAATAAAAAAGTTCAAATTAGCTACAATAATTGACGTGGGTAATCATTTCTCCTTTAAAATTGACTGAAGCAAAGGAAATGTATATTTGAGAGTCACCAGCATAAACAAAAGCGATCGTATCCATCTATTATATGTCGATGATTCTAATCCACGGAAAGTGGAATAGGTAGGTGTAGGTATCGTAATTAAATGAATTCTTGAATTCGATAAAATGAAATGAATATAAGGGAAATTTAATTATTAGATCAGCGCTAAAGTTTCGTATTCAATTAAAAGAAATATTAGCTTCCTTCACATTTTATTACAACCGCGCCAGCTAGATTATATAAGGCGCCTAGCCTGAAAAATGAAATTTTCTCGCCTTATCTTCTTTCACGTCCTAATACGGGCAAGAAAAAGTAAGTTGCTCCTTGTATAGGATAGTTAGTATAGATGTGGTCGCGACCGATGAAAGCACATTTTCCCCGCACAAAATCAGTAGTAATTCGGCAAGAAAGTGATTAATCCAACAAACATTTTGTCGTTCTGGCAAAGAGTACCCATACTCTTTGGTTCTGGTCTTGGATCTGTACTACACCGTGTAAGAAAGAATCCATAACGAAAAAGCTTAAATTGGAGGATTAGTAGTGGTACCGACGGACAGGTGGACAAAGTGCGGACAGTAGCTTTCATTTTCCTTTTGGAAAATGCGCTAAAAAGTAAATTATTTAGATGGTTTTATGATAGAAGACAAAATAACTAGTGAGTTTATTAGCAACTTTATTAATACCGCGGAGATTTTTCAATCTGCCTGGTTTCTATCCCTTTTTTCGTGTCTTACCGTTAGTCAAGTTCCGCACTCGTTAATAATTTTGCCGATGATCCGAACACTTACACTTCCTGATGTGTTTCACGAATGTCGCCCTCCTTAAAGACATCATTATTTAGTTCTACATTATAGGGATTATTTAACCACGACGCTGCGGTTTTCGTAAATCTTGCAGTTC